TACTACTCTCTCTCTCTCTCTCTCTCTCTCTCTCTCTCTCTCTCTCTCTCTCTCTCTCTCTCTCTCTCTCTCTCTCTCTCTCTCTCTCTCTCTCTCTTCTCTCTCTCTCTCTCTCTCTCTCTCTCTCTCCATCTTATTCCCGCTTTTCATCCTTCACCCTTTTTCTCTCTTTCCCTCTTGTGATCTCGCTTTCTATCGACTTCCCACTGATACTTTGGCCTAAAAGGATAGAGAGAGAATCGCAGCGCTGTCAGAACGGGGAAATGAAAATCGCTGGATTTTACCTCAAAGCGTGCGCGAAATTTTATACGGTATAGTTAATTTTCTATAGAATATCGAGGCGAGTTATTGTAAGGGAAACTTCACTCTTCCTCGGCGAACAAACCCCTTCTTTTTCTTCGTCGCGATTGCCGCGGGTAAATTAAAATTCACACTGTAATTTCGGTCAGTGAAGATGTAAAAATGGTATACTTTCTATTTAAATGAATATTACGTCGTGTGCCTTTTTTCTTTTATCTTTTATGCAGAATATAATTTCCGAACATTTTTTATATGAAAGCGTTTTAATATATAAACTTAAATTCTTCTAAGAAGTGACAATCCGAATTTAATCTTTCTTTTAGAATTAATTTATTTTTGATCCTCTGAATCTTTACGTTTGATATTCTTGATAAAAATTTTCTAGACAAAAAAGTGTACTCATAGAAATAGAAATAGACAAGAACAGAAAATTTGCGTTGAAAGGAGAAAATAAGAGAGAAAGTGCGAAAGCGATATTGCCAAGAGAAGCGAGAATGAGATATGTGCACTCGTAGGCCAAGGGCCTACACAGTGATGTAGTGGAGGTCGAGGCGACTGAAAGGGGGTGATAGCGGGGGAGGAAACGGTACCGGGGGCGGAGGACGAGCACCGTGATTACCCGCGGCGATTTCTTGGGCCCACCGAGGTCCGATCCCGGGTCAGATCCGTTCGCTATGGGAAAACACTAAACGATCGGCTCACATCACTCAGATTCCGCTCTGCTTTCGATATTTACAGGATGTGAAGAAGTATGCATTCTACCGGTTATAGATTCCTCGATGAATTTCAAACTGTCTTTTCCTCGAATATTCCTCACGAGTTGCGATTCATTAAATTATGATAAATTAATATAAAAAGCTACAAAAACATAACAAGAGTTCTACCTCTCAATCAGGCGGATTTCACCTTAATAAAATTTTATTAATGATAATGTTTAATTAATAATTAAGAATGGTTTTATCACAGATATTTTTATGTTTATTTATGTGTAATCGTTTTAGTTCCTTTGACAACTGCTTGTCGAGGAGAAACGTTTTTATCAGTTTGAAATTTTGCACAATAAATCGCACTTTATGGATGAAAATAAAGATAAGCGAGTGTATTTATATATGGTTGATGCATATGTAAACATATGTGTGAGCTCGTGAACGAGACACGTCCGCCAAGACATTCCGTTAGATCCCGCTAAATTGCACGTGTCGGACTAGAGGGCGAGGAAATGACGACTTGGTACTTCACCATGAGATACCCTCGAGGCCCTGTGCAGCCTTCCTGACCGGCAGAATGATCGACGATGTTTTAGGGATTATGTGATACCGGAAGCGTGGACTAATGATCGGCTATTACGTCATTCCTGTAAACGCTTGGTAGAAAATGTCGATACGGAATGATTAATCTTTCAGAAGGCACGTGGAGTCCCACGATAATCTGTCTGAGTCCATATTATTGATGATATTACTAGAAGAATTACACATGATGATGTCAAACATAACTCTCATAAATTTTTTAATTATAATTCAATCATTATAATTTTTATCAAAAGGTCGTTTATATGTAAGTAGATATTATCTTTGATAATATCTGTTTCTATATGTAATAAAATTTTTATTATTGCAAAATTATTTAGAAAAATCACAATGCTGAAAATATAATTTTATTAATTAATAGTTAGTGTAAATAAATAATTGTTTTAGCAAACATGTCTTGTTAAATATGTAATATCGATTAAAAGATAACTGCTCTAAAATGTAGTTTATTAAGATCATTTAATTTAAACATGTTAACAATAGATTGGTTAACAAAATAATTTAAGAAAATTTATTATCGCACCGTAGAATTTTAATAAATTTTTGGTTATGTGTAATATACAGTATAAAAATTGCTCTTTTTTGCAATAACAATGAAACTTTGTTAACTAAAAATAAAAACGAGTTATATTAAGTAAATTTTATGTTTTCGATATACAAAGCTGTGGGTTATCGCATAAATAGACATTTATTAATTAACATCCTGCTCGGTAGGTTGTTACGGGATAATATGGACGTTTGGCGTTATTTTGAAATTACCGATTATACACCGACGATTGGACTAAATTAATCAGCGACATGAATTTATTATTCGAGCGCATTATATTGACCTGTTTACTTCATCCATAACGTCGTATGGTATAAATGAGGCACCTAAATATGCGCAGTCTAATAGAAACTGTTCTATCCGTCGCGTTTATTAATGCAAATGAATCACAAATATTTAATCGCTTATATACAACGTTTCCAAGTATATATTATTAACCAATATTCTACATTCCATATTTAGCTGATATTTTTTTCTTTCTGTTATAGAATTCATTTTTCGTTCAGGAAATTATTAATTTCTCTATTTGTGTTAAAAATGAAAGATTTCTATTTTTATTTACAAATATTGAATAATTTTATTCGTGGCATATTTTAGGATCCACGTTTAACTAAAGTTTTTTTAGGCTTTTCATTATATTTAAATAACATTACTTTTACGATTATGTATATTCAAATATTAATGTCAAACATTTCCATCTTTATTCAATTATTTTAAGTAATGCATTTTATTATTTCCATTTGAACTTATTATGATATTTTTCGTCTTTTTATTTTTATTATTGTTTTCTTTTTTATTCTATCATAACATGCTTTTGGAGCGCATCGTCAATCGACATATAAATACCGGCATTAGAAATTTCGACTCTAGGAATGATTATTCTAAATATAAACTTAATGTTATTAAGTGACAACAATGATTTAACCATTATAAATTAATTGCAGGTAATATCATGTTAAAGTATATGCTCTCTCTTGTGAAATGATTTTAATATCGTTTTAACGCGAGCGAAAGCTCCGATCGATACGTTTGTTCCGTTGGGAGATAATTAAATGCATGTTAATGGGTAAGCAATGTGACGCAATGATTATCAAACGCAGACAAAATTGCGTAATATAGAGGTTGCAAATCTGCTTTGTCAAATGATAGTCTCGGCATTATTTCTGTGATAATTCCATTCTCAATACGAATCGAATGAGCGGAACCACGTGCGTCATTTTGTTAATTAAAAATCTCTGCGATTCATTTAAACAAAAAAAAAAAGAAATGATCGAGTACACTAGCGTGCACTTCAGAAAATTGATTTCTAACACAGAATAGAAAGAAATTGAAATATTCTCAAATCTCTGATTCTTTTGCGAGAAACGTACGTTGTCGAATGATACCGAATGATTTGTCACGACATGGATATAAATCTGTTTATACGATTTTCTCATTTGCGACGCACGATGCAGCCTAGCGTTATCGGCCGATACTTTCGATAAAGCAATAAGGTCACATCGTGTAATGAGAGAGGAAGGTGCAACGAAGCGTGACGACGGAGATGCCAGAGCGGGGCGGGCAACTCGTCGATTTTACGTGATATTCATTTTGCACTCTTACTGGTTGCTTGATACGCCGGCGACACTTATCCTGTCGACGTTTTCACAGATTAAATCACGGGTGTGTTCGAGATGCGCGCCGTAACGGTTCATAGGAAACGGACCTGCGCTCCACTAACTCGACTAACGATAATCCATGCATCGCGTGTAAATTTGCCCATCACGTATTGTTGTTAGTTTTAGCTTAGCTTGGTTACTGATTTTGAACTATTTCGTTGTAGAGTAGGTACGTAAATAGAATACGTAAATAGAATACATGCTTGCGTTATACCAACATCGAAATTGAATTGATCAAATGACAACGAAATTAATATAGCTTATATTTTTTACTACGTAGAAATGATTATAATACTATAAATGATTATATTACTTTTTATTTGAAAATTTTTCTTATTATTTTTTATGATTATATAATTTTATCCTAATATAAGATTGATAATATTTGCTAATTTTTAATAAATTTTTTATATTAAAAGAAAATCATTGGTAAAATTAAATTTTATAATGTAACCTTTTTTAGCAACAAAAGATTGTATTATACAAGAATATTTTTTAATTATTTTTATTGTATTATATTCTATAAATGCAATGCAACGATAGATTAAATCAATTTTATTTAATTTATTTTGATATCTACGTGTATTTTTAAAACTTTTACTATTTCCTCATAATTTAATTTATTATTTCAATTGTTTGATAAAAATGATAATATTAGTATCACGGTGAGTACATGGGTATCCATTACAATACTCTCGCTCATTCATTATGGCTAGTCTCGATAGAAACATCTTCGTTACGAGTCAGAATTCATTGCCTATTCAGTTAACGAGACGACTGGGGTCGACGATAAGGCCACCTGTCAATTATCATCAGCTTTCTCACGAACGCATCTATCGCGGTTTGCTGATGCTGTATCTTCACTGCAGTCTGACGCCGTGCATTCATGATCTCCTTGTGAAAGGAACGATTTTCCTCGCCGCTAAGCGCGTTGGATATTCGCTGGCGTCCAAGATAGCGTATTAAGTTCAGGCATTATTCGGAACGAAGATCACGAAGCTAGATCACGGTGACATTTAGCAATTTAGATATTATGTCTGGTAGCCATTAAATCGCGCTGCTGTCTTAGTATTAAAATCTGATCTGTTATGCAAGTACAATTTACAATATTTTTAATTTCATATAATTACTCCTTATATTAACGCGGATAAAGAGAAAAAAATAAGAAAAGAGAGAGAGAGAAGAATAGATAGCATAAAATTTATGAACAATAATACTTGCGTCGATTGTACCTGTCTAATTATGTTCATATATCATGCGATTCTAATTCAACCGTACATTTATATTGTCAGATTTACTCTCAGTGTCAGAGATTAACTTTATTCCATTCGGAATCACATGGAGTATAATACTCATGGATTTTTCTTGCCGTGGCAAAGAGAGGATATCTGCAGGGTGATACTTCCAGGAGATTAAAACCCTCTCTATAAGCAAAGTGCAGTTGTGCTTTCACGTTACGTCTCTTTTATGCATAAAGTGCACGGGCACACCGCAAATAGCCTTTGGACACTGCCGGGCACGGTAACGGTGTGCCTGATTGCGGGCGATATGTTCTCAGAGATATTGCCCGGTACGAACATCCTGGAGCGTTGTCGATGGTCACGTTTCCGCGATCCGGACATCACGCTCCCTTTCTACTCTCTCACTCGCTAGAATTTCTTCATACCGTTTAGAAGTCACACTCTGTGCTTTCGCGGAAGGCCGCGAAAGATATCCAGTCTCGATATTAATACATAAACTTACACTCGACTCTCGCCATTATTTCAATTTCTTTTCTGTTACGTCGAATTAAATTCTTTTCTCGAACAATTCCTACAATTTCTTCAAAAAGTAGCATGTTCCTTTTTCGACATATACAAAGATTTTAATAAAAAAAAAGAGATACAGATCATTCTTCTTACATATCTCGATTTTGAATCGAGATTAATCTTTTATGAAAAAGTACAGAAGAATCGTTTGTTTACGCTTCTCCTATTAAGGATTCGAGATGCACAAGCGTACTCTTACTTCGTTAAGGTCTCGAGGGAGGATGTATATATCGTGCCGCCGACGTCGATGTGAACTGGTGCGGTATACCTCGAAGCGGCCGCTACGCAAGGAATACCGGTCATCTTCTGGTTGTAAGCCGGGGCCGCCGGCGTCGGTGGTGTTGGCGACGAGGAGTTCGACATCGTGGGCGAGGTGGCCGGCGAACTGCTTGGCGACAGCAATCTGAAAAAAAAAACACCTTTGATATTAGTAACGTAATGAGATCGCATTCAGCTTGCTAATCCAAGCTTCTGAAACTGCGTATCGATCCCTGCGGGTAATGTGAATGAATGAAAACCGCGCTAAATTTGCAATTCTATATCATCATTATTCAAAAGTCTCAGAATAGCAACACGGAATTTTTTGTATCTGTAAACTATTAGTTGCAGCATAGATTGAGACGTGACAACCCGTTTCTGCTTCTGGCGCGTTACATTTTAAACTAACTACTCTATATATATATATATAAATTAAATCATTGACTTTGCTACGTTTTACATTGCGTGATTTCAGTTGTAGCACTACATTACATATAACTTTATACGCAATTCTAAGCGCGACCAGGAAGTTAATCAAACGAAGGCGAACATGAGCTATGAAATCGTGAACGTTGTGATTTACGATGTATGAAATTAAATGACGTCTACGGAGAGAGAATTTTACTGAGTTTTACGTTACGTAACTCTTTCTCGAATGAACTATTCCGGGACAACTTATATTGGAACTCGGATGTAGAGACTTATTTACCTCATTTTAATTTGAGCGCTAGGGAACATATTGCGTTGCGCCGTCAGCTCCGCTTTCGCCTCCTTCCCATCGGCCTCACATTTCCGTCTGAAATGAAAAACATCTGGGCATGAGTATGCATTGTCAATAAAAATGAAGTCTAAATATTACGATAATTAAATGTAAGATGTACGTACGACTTATCAAAATTTTTATGTAATTGCATTTGCGATGATTAACGCAAACCTTTCTACGTAGCCCTCTAATGCATTAGTCCAATTGTTCAACTATCCAATCTCGTATTGAATTACAAATTTCGTAATATTTATCGCGAATCAAAACCGACTCCATATCTAATCCGCGTCGCGTTCAACGCGCTTATGCCTTTTATCGGTGCAACACAGGTGTCGATTTAGCATATCGATCCTCACGGCTGGTCGCGAATGACGATAACGCTAGTTTAACGAGCCATTGTTTTTGATCAAACATCAGCAATGCTGAATCGACTGAGAGCTTGGAACATTAATGCGAAATTCTCGTATGCATTAATAAGGCAATTAGCGGCGAAACAATATTTGGCGCCGGTCGGTCCAAGGGTATTCTTTTAAACGTGCGCTTCCAGTGGAAAGGGTGGGTCGGTTTGGTTCACGAGTTAGAGGCACCCCCTCGAATTTTCATTACTACATGGCTCGTGAAAGGCCGGCACATTATTAGCCATTATCCAGAGGTCTGCTTTGCATAGGGTAATGCGTGGCTTTTACCACGGGTACAACCAAGAGGATCTCTCTCCATTGAAAGAAGCTGGCAAGAACCAACAGAAACAGAGAGTCAGAGTTTATACAATTTCAATATGAACCGACGTTTCAGCTATGCCGGTATAAAAGAGATCTATTTCTTGCGCTTTTCAAATATCAAATTTTAAATATAATAATTTTTCCGAACACGTTTTTCTATAACAATTTACAATTCGACATCGAGATACGAATCTATCGCGGCTACGTGATATCTCGTGAAATCCTGCTGTGAGTGGTGACAAACACGCGAGAAGAGATGTGCGTTTAATCGCCGCAGTGCTCGTTTTCCGTCCGGCGAAGAATTTGCGATCCGCCAGAAGACACGGCACGTGAGGGGGTACCGGTTTTCTCGTCTACCCACCACCCTCGCCCACATCAGCCCGCGCCGTAGCGGCGCATCGCCGCGGGAATGCGATGCAGCGCCTTTTCTCGGCCGCGCTGCGAGAGGTCGTCTCGGCGATGCGCCCGATGCCTCTCTTCTGCTCCTTTGCGAAGGTGGGGAACCTGGCGGTCATCGCAAGTCGGACATCGGGTGAAGGAGTAGAGTAAGAGACGGTGTGGAGTCGGCGGGGGCGGACGAGCCACAACAACGGCCATCACGGCCGCGCTGGCGCCGCGGGCTAATCGGAAGATTTATGTAGAGCCATGCATTTACGAGTATAGAATAGCAGCATACTTGCATACGTAATTAATTTGCACTATTGTTGCGATCTTTAGCGTCGATGAGAGATCGATCATTGTCGCGCTCCCGCGGAAACACGTGTCGACACGTGCCAGGATGCGTTCCGCTGACGGCATCGCGACGGAATTAATGGGTTTTGACGGCACTTCAATCATATTGTACGTGTCTGAAAGCATATTCGAATGGCAGATGCGTGGGCGACATGAAAAACTCGATGCCATTGGATTAGATAAAGCAACTATGAAATATAACATTTACTTACCAAGTTTCTTTTATCAAGGTGTTTACTTAAACCCGAAAAAATTTTCTGAGAATCTCTTAATTTTAAGATAATTTATTAAAAATTTCAGGTGAAATAAAAAGAATGTTTTTAAATATATCTACACAAATAAATATATATTTGTTGTGCAAAATCTTTAATATTTTCCAGTCATAAATTTGATAAATTATAAAATAAAATTAAGCATTACTCGAGTTTTAATAATTAATTAAATTAATCAATTACATTTTGAATAAATTTTGAAAGAAACTATAAGGAAACTTTAAAAAATAAATATTTTATATTACATTTTCAAACTTTCAAAAGTTACAAACAAAAAGTTATATAATATATAACCCGTACAAAATTCAACACAACTATAAAACTATTAAAATACATACTCATTTTCATTAAAAAAATTGCACTTAACATGAAATCGTTATCTTCGAATATTGAATATTAGATTAATCGTAAAATCAATACGCTCTGATATTTAGAATGAGTGGATTCCACTGTTGTCATTAACAATTTCATCAGTAAACTTTTATTTCTCATGTAAAGATAAGAAAAAGCGATTTTAAAAAAATTCCTTGATTTTTCAAGATAAACAAATTTTCTGAGAATTCTAGATATTCTAGATTTATCCAGATAGTAAATACCCTGTTTAATTATTTTAGTATTTTTCAACCAGGATCAGTTCAATATTGATCCTTTTGTATTTACGTATTTTTATTTCCAATTTTTATTTCCATAATTTTATAAGCGAAAAAAGAAAAATTCGAGAAGAAAAATAACTTTAATTTCATCAGTGAGGGCGGACGCGATATAGTTTTGATTCGAGCCACTCGTTGAAAACGGTGTTATCAGGTGTGCACATAATATAGCGCTGAAATGACCGGCAGCGCCGACGAAAGAAGAACCCGAAGCACGATATAGCTATAACAATGGCGATGATCATCATGGTCGTTCGAGCGCCTCGGGGTGATTGGTCGGTATACGAATGTACATTACGGTCGATGTACTGAAGCCACTCGACGCTTAACATTATGCATAATTACATGCGTAAAATCGACAATTAATTCAATACAGAAATTAGTATTTACGTTTGCAACAAATAATTTACGTAAATAATTCGGCAGGCTGTAGCGTTTCGTGGTAAGATCAATATTTAAAATGTTCGATCTCGACCGACGATTGACCGGACGTAAAATTGCGCGCAAAATAGAGAGTCTCAAGAACTCGCGTCGCGAGTTGAGAGAAAAAACATCCTGGAATATGGAAGCCACAGGACAAATGCCGTAACGATATCCGCAATAACGTCCGCCGCGACGTGGCGACGCCTCGAGCCAATTGTATCTCATACGCAGATGGTTTTATTGCATGCATACATCCGCGTGTACGCCAGCGGGTGTACGCGAACGGATAAAGATAGGTGAGACAGAGGATACACAATTATAATGTACTATCTGTACAATTGTTCGTGTATGTACATATTGAGTTCTTTGTTAATGTGACTTTATACACGGCGCATTCGAATAATTCTCAATATTACGATCGCGGATACTACGATCGCGCGAACGAAGTATCTGAAATCTTGTCTCTCGCAGACACGTCAGCCTCGATCGCGCTAGAAATCCGCGCGGTGAGATTCGCGCCGCCTATAAATTTATGAAGTACGACCTGCAAAATCCGACAGGTCGTTTAGACCTTGATGTATCCATTTGACCTTAATGATATCGTACGTGGAGTAGGCCACGTGAAGTGGAAATACGAGTAGATGTTGGTAATAGTTCGTGCTGGTAGGCACGCGTCCGACGTCGCGAAGGCGAAAAGCGTTTCACCGTTCCGGGCGTGAAGGTGCAACGTCGTCGCCTCTCGAACGTCAAATTAGAAAGGACGGCGAGGGAGAGATAGGAGATGGGTAAGGTGATGCGAGATGCGACGTCGTTCCCAACGACACCGTGATATCCGCGTTGGTACCCGAGGCCATCGGAGCCCCCTTGCCCAGATATAGTTCTGATACGCACACGAGCCAACGAGACAGCGAGTGTGCGCGCGCGCGCGC